ATATATATATATGAATTAGAAAAGGAAACGGAACTCCAAATTACAAATAAAATTAAATAGTTGGATATCTGGTTGACAGCAAAATGTTCATCTTTAAATGAAGATAATTATGATAAATTACTTAACCAAACAAAGAAGGATTTGGAAATATGGGGAAAATTGCAACTGTCCTTAGTAGGAAGGATTGTTGCAATAAAGATGAACTTGCTACCAAAATGGCTATACTTATTTCAGACTGTACTGGTAAAGTTAAACAATAAATTCTATGGGGTACTAAATAAGATAACAACATTTATATGGCAAAGTAAAAAACCTAGAACCAGATTAAAACTATTGCAGGATAATAGATACAGAGGTGGTTTCGGACTCCCTGATTGGGAAATATATCAACAGGTAGCAACATTAACTTGGATTAGAGATTGGATATCTTTAAACAACAGGAGAACATTAACGGTACAGGGACATGACTTGCAAGTTGGATGGCACGCCATCCTATGGGAGAGAAATAAAAAGACATATTCACATGTTATACAACATTTAATTAGGGAGGCATTATTAGAAATTTGGCATAAAATTAAATCAAAACGCTATACTAAGATAGCAGGCTGGCTTTCAACTATGGAAGCAGTGTTCAACCCAAATACTATGGATATTGCTAAAATGATCAGGTACAACACTATTAGATAATCATGGAAACCTAAAAACAAATCAAAAATTGAAGAAGAAATTAAGTTAGACTAGTGGCCCTATCTGCAGGTGCAAACAAAGTATAAAAAAGATATGGAAGAATTTGGTATAGAGAGAAAGGAGCAGAGGAGGAGTTAGTAAAACACAATGATAGCATGGATGAAAATTTTTGGATAAAACATTCAATTAGAGGATTGGGAAAGACTTTGGGAGAGAAATTATAAATTTAACAATGGCAGCCTCATATAGGGAAAACCTTTATAAAATGTTCTATCATTGGCATCTAGCACCATTGAGATTGGCCAAGATATATCCAAATTTGAGTCCAATATGTTGGAAGTGTAAACAAACAACGGGTACTTTCTTTCATATGTGGTGGTTGTGCCCCAAAGCCAAAAAATTCTGGAATAAAATTAAAAATTTGGCTGCAAGAAATAACGAAGGAAAAAATAGAATTCAAACTGGAAATGTTTTTATTAGGAATAATTAGAGGCGAATATAAAAAGACATTGAATATCTCATAATACATATTCTGACAGCAGTGAGAATAACCTATGCTCAAAATTGGAAAGCAGAGGGTAATTCTACAGACAATGTGTTAATTAGAAAAATTATGGATTGTGAGGAAATGAATAAGCTTACTATGGAGTTGCAAGAGAAGGAAAAAAGAGAATTCTATACGGTTTGGGAGAATTTATATACTTGGATAGATAATAGGAATAATAGATAACATATAATGTAAATACGAATAATGTATATATGTATATAGATATGAATAATGGAAGATGAAAAAAACTGACTACAATGTATTGCAAAAATTGTAAACATGATTAGTGTTTTTTTAATTGTAGAACTTTAATAAAATCTATTTTTTAAAAAGCATTCTATTCTGAGAGTTACCTTGCAAATTGCATTAACTGAAGAATTACAGATAATTTGTATATCTGTGCTTCATAATGACAGGTAGGATAGAATGAAGTGGAAATAAGTAAGAAAATAGTGGATACAAAAATGGCTGCTAAATACCACAAGATAGATTTTATCTGTAAACAAGTAATTAGATTATAGCTTAATTTAGATTTCATTTTGTAGTCTATCTTTCTGCAAGAAGATATGTTATTGAATGTATTCTTCTCCCCACCATATAATTAAAGAAAATTTCAGGAATACATCAATTATAGCGTGATTCTCAACCGATGGTCCTCTTTGAAGGGTCATGATGTTCTCACAGGGTGGGATCTGTGAAGGCTTGAAGAAATATGATTTAAATCTTGAGTTTAATTTTGGTGGTCCATGGCCATGATCGGAGGTTTGTGGTGAATAAAAGGTTGAGAACCACTGAATTATAGTATTCCCATCAGCCTGATGAGTGCTTTTTACCTTTCTCCCATAACAGGTTCAAGATGTAGAAATAAATTTTAAGTGAATTCTTTCTTCATAACAGGATAGAGTATGCCATTCTCAATTTCTTTTCTTCATCTGAACATTTCCAAATGATTTTTAAGGTTTCACAACTCCAAGGAGCAGGGTTACCTTGAATCTGAGATGAAGAGGGAAGGGGAAAGAGTGAGTTTCTTTTTAAGAATAGTGATTTTGTTTTATTCAGAAAAATGAAATAAAAATAAAAGATAATGTTAACAATAGGGTAAAAAGAATATTTATTGTATGTAATGAAGTATGACATTAAAAGTCATGCACTATCATCAGTCAATCCAATAATACTGATAGAGGATAATATTTATGACAGGATTGAAATGAGCGGTCCTTGGTGTTCTGAGCATAGTTTTCTTGCAGATGTTTCATTACCCAAACCAAGTAACATCATTAAGGAGTGGGGTTTGGTCTCATTTTATGCTCTATGGCCTTAGTGTTGGTGATTGTTATCTTGGTGATTTTTTATTGGATTGTTTACTGTTAGCTTGTTTGTGGTATTGTTTTGTTAGTCTGATGTTAATCTTGGTGTTAATCTCTGCTCATCTGGGAATTGATTGTTGCTAAGGAGTAACAGCCAAGGTCAACCTCTCAATCCAATCATAGCAATTTCTAAAAAAAATTAAATAGTATTTGAGAAGCTGCCTTTTATCCAGATTACCCCTTTGCTCACATATGTATTGCTAAGCCACTTAAAATGCCATGCCTTCAATCAAAGATAAAGCCAAAGGTTGTTCTAATCTCTTTCCATGTATTAATTAAATGCAGTTAAGATTGAAGAGTGAGCAGTGATCTTTTACAGAAGGAGAGATTAACAAATACTGTTTTATAAATTTAGACATCTCAGGAAACCTTCCTAAAAGACATTTTTTTCAGTCCACGTAGCCAGTGTATTTTCCTTTTTCCTTCCAACCCTGTCACAGGTAAGAATGTTGTATTTTGTTTTTATAAACATTTATAACTACAGTTTTATTTTCTTCAAAGCAATTTTTAAGAAAAAATGTGTTTTGGGTATTTTAGCATAAATAAACATAGATGGAAATATGTATTTCAGATTGGTAGCAGAAGCAGTGTTTACTCTCCTGAAAGCAATGTGAGAAAAACTGGTTCATACATCTATGAGGAATTCATGCCTACAGATGGTACTGATGTAAAGGTATAATTGCATATTTAGGTTTTAATTTTGGAGCAGTCAAATGATTAAGGACCTTAGCAATTCTGTGAAACATTTACTATTACTGAACTATTGCTGTAGTTAAATGTGAAACAGCTTTCTTTGTTTTCTTCAGTGAAAATTAATTGTTCTTAAAGAAAATTAAAAATATATTTTGAAGAGCATGAGAATGCAAATGAAGTACTTGTTGTGTTTTGAATTGTTGAAATAGTTATATTTTTCCCTGTGTTGCACAGCTGCATTATAACCTGCTCCCTTAAAAGATTTAATAAAGTTTATTATAGCATAAAATACAATGCAAATAAAGATTAAAGGGGAGAAGAGTGCAGGATAAAAAAGGAGAGGAATAAAAGATGGAGATGGAACTGGCTATGAAGTGAAACTATATCTAATGCCATGTATTTAACCAAAAAGATTTTACTTGCTTTGTCTTTCCCTTTACCCTCAAATATAGGTATACACTGTAGGTCCAGATTATGCACATGCAGAAGCACGTAAATCCCCTGCTCTAGATGGCAAGGTGGAGCGTGATAGCGAAGGCAAAGAAGTGAGGTATCCAGTGATACTTAATGCACGGGAAAAGTTAATAGCTTGGAAAGTATGCCTGGCTTTTAAGGTAACAAGATACAATAACAAACATTTCAAACCAAATTATATTTTCTGAAATTATTGCCTATTCCAGGGGTCAGAACCCTTTTCAGGCCTTGGATACCACTGAATGATTTCACATGATGGGCCAGATAATCCACCCCCCATGGTCAAATTTCATGAAATTTAAAATGAGAATGCTTAATCTCATAAGGTACAGCCATTAAAAATAATAAAAAATCTGCTCAATTTTGTAAAATAGCAAAATTATGATATAGCAAGCAGCTCAGAATTGGTAAGATCATACTGCTGACCCCTGGTATCAAAAATGTGCAGAAAATAGTTTTTATTGTTCTTAATACAGAGGATATCTCCTGCTTTTCAATTATTGCTGTATTTTTTTCCCTATGTTTCTTTCTCCTGCTTTGATCAGCTGAGAAAATCTATTAAAATCTATAAATGAAGCCTCTTGGGAGTTTGGGAGTAAGCCCCTAAATAATAGATGTCTTAGAGCTGTTTGTACTGTTAACCTGTTTATAAAGATATTTTGGAATTTTAGAAATAATTGAATAAGAATTTAGAAGAATGTTAAATTCAAAAAGTTGCCTTTCCAAATGTCCCATTTAAACATAGATATGACAGGATAAACATTTAAAGAGATATAAGAAAACTGGACACTATCCTGTGATATTTTAGATTATTAATATGTGGAATGTTTTGTTTCTGCTACATAGAGTTATTGAGTTTTAAATGTCTGTAGATAATATTTTGCAAGTTTTGAACATGTTGTTGCTTTCTCTGATAGCAAACAGTTTGTGGATTTGACTTGTTGCGTGCAAATGGGCAGTCCTATGTCTGTGATGTCAATGGCTTCAGTTTTGTGAAAAATTCTATGAAGTATTATGATGATTGTGCTAAAATCCTTGGGTAAGAGTTTAAAGAACTTGAGTGGGCTTTGGGACACTGTTATTGACCCATAAGGATCCTTGGTTTGACTAGAGTTCCAGATTTCTCTATTTCCTGTATTTGTCATTTTTATGCTATAAAATCTTAATTAATAAAAAAAAAATAATTTCCCAGTGATCCTTTGAGGGAACAACATTGGATAAGATCTCAGGAAGTCAGTCTTTTAAGAGAGTTATTAAGATGTGCTTACTTTGTGCAAATGTAGGTTTTGTTATTCAGCTTTTGATTTCCTGGCAGCCTTAATAATAATTTTTATTATCCACGTAATAATTTTTAACCAGAAGTCTTAATTTGTCAAATGATAAAGATTGGCAATTCTCAAAATTGTTCAGAGTTTTCTTTACTGAGGTGTAAAAAAACTAATATGTTTAATTATTAAAATTGTAGTTAGATATTGCTACAAATTATTTATTTCATAGTATATAAATATATAAATTAAGACATTTTAATTCAATAAATCATTTACCTTTCCTCTTTTAGAAATATAGTTATGAGAGAACTTGCTCCACAATTTCAGATCCCTTGGTCTATACCTTTGGAAGCAGAAGATATTCCTATTGTGCCAACCACCTCAGGAACAATGTAAGAAGAAAATATTTACATAAAATTGCACCAAGATTGTTTTTCTTATCCATGTTAGGTTCTGTAAATATACATATTCCATAGATAATAAATTGTCAGGCTCAAGGAACCAACAACAACACAGGGATCTGCTCATAGTAGTTTCTTTATTATTGCTCACCAATAGCCAGGAAGTTTGATAGACTGAAGCATAGTCTGCATAACTATTTATCTAACCCTGTGAAAGGTTAGGGAGGATCCTCTCTGGCCTCTTCCTGCATGCCAGAGAGTCTAAGCTGACTTGCCTTTTTGCTCCTTGGGAAAGATCCCCTCCTCATGCGACTCTGCATCACATTCCAACACATAACTATAGCAGAACAGTTGAGCCTATCAAATGGAAAGCTAGATATCTCCAGTCCTCTTCCCCCAGTAGGCCTGCGGACTTCACATTTTGGTTAAACCTCTTGCTTTAAGTTATGGGCTTGGTAATTCTCTCACAACCTATACTGTCTTTTTGGCAATTACATATTGAAAATGGCAAAAAATAAATGATGATAATACAACCTGCCCCTGTGTGACAATCTTTCATTTTGTTCCCTCTATAGAAAATAAACTATTCTTACAGGATATAAAATGAAATTTTACTGGGGAAAAAACCTATATGTTCAGAATTTAGAGTGTAAAATTCTAAGCAAAAGTAATAGATTCTAATGATAAAGTCATAAATACAGCCTTAAATACAGTTAATCCTTGGCTTACGATTGGTTGCTTATTGACCTTTTGAAGTTGCAATGGATCCTACAAAAGGTACTTAAAACCCAGATTTGAAGTTTCAATGGCCAACCTCTGTGGTCATGGGATCATATTTTGGGCACTTAGCAATTAAGCCACATTCACGGCCATCTGCAGTACCCCATGGTCACATGATTGCATTTTATGATTTTTATTTTTGGCCAGGGACTGGTATTCCAGTTTCCAGAAAAAAAAACATTAATTGTGGCCAATGAGTTTAATGTTTGCATAACAGCTACCACCAAAAAAAAAAGATAAAATTGGGCATATGATGACCAGCATATGATCACACTTCCAGACTCAATTATGGTCATATGTTGAAGACTACCTACACACAATATCCAGTACGATAGGAGACTTTAGTAGAGCACAGCAAAGGCAAGATTACATTTAACACAATGCTCTTAATTATTTTACCCATCATTTCGAAAGTAGTAGTTAGTCATATTCCTCAGAGCTCAAGGCTGCTGGAGAGAAAGACAGAATCCAAATATTTCCCCCACTATTAGTGGTCTTTCAGCTCTTGTTCCCTTTGTTAAAAAGGACTCTAAATTTTGCTATCTCCGGGGAAGAGGTAATCCTTCTCCATACATAACCAAAAGCAATGCCTCACTCAGATTGAATGTTTTGCTATCTAATGCAAAACTCAAAATATACCCTGCAGTATTATGAACGCAGATTTCTATTCACAAAAGTAATATTTTATATTCAGGATCAAATGCTGCTACACTTGAAACAATTAAGAGTTGCAACTCTAGATACCTTTCTTGAGTTCAGTGAAAATATTTTTAAAGGAATTTAGATGTACTCCAAACAAATGCAAACTTGGACCTCCATCTATTGCCTAGTGCCTTACTGAGTTCTTCCTCAATTTCCATGCTTAATTTGTTGGGAGATAACCTTAACTTACAGTAAGTCTGGGCTTTCTTTAGGAATATGAATTTCATAAATTCATAGAGTTGGAAGGGGGCATTTAAATTTTTAGTCCTATCCCCTGCTCAGTTTGGGAATCCAAAATAAAACATCTATGATACTTGTAGCTTCTGTGTATAGCAAGGGTCTTCAAACTTGGCAAGTTTAAGACTTGTGAACTTCAACTCCCAGAATTCCTGAGCTAACATGACTGGAGGAGGAATTCTGGGAGTTGAAGTCAACAAGTCTTAAAGCTGTCAAGTTTAAAGACCTCTGGTGTATAGTATATAGCATATAGTATAGGCAACCCCATCATTTTTCTGGATAATTAGGCCATACTAGTTGTTTTATGGAACAAGTTGCCATTGACTCTCTAGTCCAATTTAAAAAGATGCTTACTGAGTCTTTTTAGACTTTGTATTTTATTCCACAGTCTTCTACAGTTCAATATAAATTGCTTATCACTGAATCAGATTGTTTCATTTCAATAATAAATAGAAGCATATAGTTAGTCACATTCCTTCTATACTTGCAGGATGGAGCTTAGATGTGTCATTGCTGTAATACGGCATGGAGATCGGACACCAAAGCAAAAAATGAAAATGGAAGTTAAACACCAAAAGTAAGTATCTGGTGATAAAAAGAAATAGTGAAATATTTAAGTTGAATACTAAATTACTTTTTTTGTAATTTAGTTTTAGGGTTTGAACTCAGATGCGTTATACGACAAGTGACTTCCACATATGTTGGGACTGGTGCTTGCTGACTTGAAATCCTAGGGATTATACTTTAAACATAACTGAGAGGCCTCACATTGGGAAAATCCTCCTAGATATTTATTTCTAAATTTGATGAAATTCTTACGATATTAAAGTACCATAGGATACTACTGGGAAGTAAGTTTATAGGGGTAAAGTGTGTGGTCTAGGGCTACTGGAAAACCTGATTACATGGATAGAAGTGTCCTAGGGGGGATGGACTTCCTGGTTTGTGACATGATTGGGACTCTTTAATCTAGAGATGGGCCAGCGAATTGGTGGGGGGAGGAATCTGGAATGTGTATGATAAGGATAGGCTAGAACATGTCTAGTAATGGATGAGGAAGGCATAGTGGGAGGGGGCTCACTTGGGAAACATAGCCCTGATGCTTTTCACAAGTGTTACATTGTAACACAATGTGTTTGACCCCATTTTCTGATCAACAGGCCTTTAGAGGTCATGACTTGGTTTCTGCTTCTGAATCAGAGTTCAGTCTGCAATAAGACCTCCTTCATCAGTGATCTATCACAAATAAGAGGGATGACCTGGTGTTTAATATTGGAACCTGGATGGGATTTGAGGGAGGTGTTCCTTTCTTGAAGATGCACCCACACAGATTTTACTTTGTGCCATTAGTCAAGGACCAAGGACAGAGAGTGGAGGAGGCGCTATGGTATTCCAAGATTGGTGGCATTCATAGATTATTGAATGCAAGACCCTTTTTATTGGGTTCTAGGGATCATTAGGGGTTGTTGCTATTGCACCAGTCTCCCTGCTGTGCAGATTTCTCCTTTTAACATCTACATGAAACAACTGGTTAAGGTCATCTGATGGCATGGAGTGAGGATATCATTTGTTATACAGTATATGTATCATTACGTTTATGTCTACCCATGGCTGACCAAGTAGTACCCTGGAGATTCTTTCTCCATGTTTGGAAACGGGGGTCTCGATGAGGAGGGACAGGCTTCAACTCAACCCACTGAGTGGCTCTGGTTTTGGAATCTTCAAGATATATCTTTACCTCTAGAGGATATTGCAGGATCCCAAACAAATACAGTGCAATTTGGGTGTCTTTCTGGGCAGTGTTTCCTGTTTGAGGAACAGGTGGCAGCTGCAGACAGGATAACTTTTGCCAAACTTTGTGTTGTGCATGACCTGTAATCACCACAGGACTCATAGTCATACATACCATAGTTGTCTCCTAAATGGACTATTGAAAGATGCTTTATATTGGGCTGCTCTTCAAGAGCATCTGGAAACTGCTTTTGGTTCATAATCAGCAGTGTGGGCAATTATGTGTCGGATCCAATCTGGGTCGCTCATCTTGGACTCCAGAAAGAGTCTAAAAGCTCAGAAGACAAAACATCTGGTCCCAGTGACTGATCCAAATTGAATCCTGCCACTTTACCTTGGGACACATATATTCGTTTTGATTCGTAGTTATGTGTACTCCTTGACTGGTACATTTTTGTTCTATGAGTTGTGTTGGTTTCTATTGGGCTTCTGGGTTCACATATGGGTGGTGGTAGTTATCTATCAAATTCATAGCATGGGTTGGGTTATTTGGGAATCACCTCTCGCTAATTGTGTTTACCTTTCTCATTAAATCTGGTGGAAGAGGCATGCTGTGACTCCATTTAAAAATGTTACATCTACATCTGGTGGACCCAGTGAGAGACCATTTTCTGTGGTGGCTCACACACTTCAGCATATCCCCAGATTTAGCATAGATAAGCTCTAAGCCTGTTTACTTTTTATAAGGCTTAAAGAGTTGGCTATGTCATTGGGAATGGGGGTGTCAGTATATGAGAGTTCATGAATTGGAATAGAATGGTAACAGGTCAGCCAATGGGAACTGTTTGGTGACTAAGAAACAGCACCTGTTGTGAGCCAGATGGATTGGAGACTAGGTGTAGCTTAGGGTTACTGATTTGTATATAAGAGTTAGTTTGTCCTTGGATCTTTACTCCTCTGTGATATTGCTTCTGTGCTTATATTGCTTCTAAAATTATGACTTTCTGGATTCTGAGTTCTGGTTCTGACTTGGGTATCATACACATGCATTATACTGTATATTATACAAACAAGTTTTCTTCCATAAATGAATCCTGTGAATTATTTACTTGTGTGCTGGTTGGATTACTGCAAACTCCGATGGGATCAGAATGTGGCACAGCCTGGATTATGTGCTTATTATGTTGTAACTGTGTTTTTCATTATTGTTAAAAGTCATCATGATAAGATGGGCTGCCATATACTTTGTAATAAATAAATAAATATGTTTTTTAATTGAACTTTTCTTTAAAAATTTGTAAATGTAAACCTCACTGAATTTTCAGGTAATCCTAATTCTGATACGAGATAGTATTCAGCAAATACCTGTTTTTTAATGAAATAAATAACCGTTCTATCAATCAATTCATGGGAAGTTGATATATGTGCTATTATAATCAGCTAATTCTAGAATGTGAATCTGATTATATTGTGAAATAATTTAATCATTCCCTGTTTCTTTTAAAGGTTTTTTGATCTTTTTGAAAAATGCAATGGGTATAAGTCTGGGAAATTAAAGCTGAAAAAGCCTAAGCAGCTACAGGTAAGGTTTCTTTTCTTTTCTTTTTCTTTTTTTTAATCTTTTCTAGGTACTTGTATAATTATCCATTTTCACGAACCGCTTGTAAAATTGCCACTGTTTTTAGGAAGTACTTGATATTGCAAGACAGCTCTTAATAGAGCTAGGACAGAATAATGACTCTGAAATTGAAGAAAACAAATCTAAACTTGAACAGTTAAAGACTGTGTTGGAGATGTAAGTATTTTATTTCAAATTTTTTGATGTAATAAAAACACATTTTAAGAAAACTGTGTAAAGATCACCTGATTTTCATATCTACATCTGTAACTTTGGAACTAGTCCAATTTAGCTTGTTAGATTAGTTGCTAATTTAAACCTGATTCTGACTTTTGCTTTATTTGTTGGAAAATAAATTGGTTGTATTAGATTCACTGAGACAATAATAAAGAAAGCAGATTTTTTTTGTTCTAGTATTTCTTTAAAGCAGGGGTTCCCGGCCCACTACCAGCCCATGGCTTATTTGGAACTGGGCCATGCAAGAAGCAAGCCAGCACACGTGCATGCAACTCCACTCACACAAGTTGCAGTGCGCATGTGCGCATCTGGCTTCACTCAGAGAAACAGCTGCACGAGCGCATGTGCATGCTGTCCCTCTTTTTGCATGCCCCAAGTTCCTGACCACCCAGCTGGGCTACCAGGCTGCAAAGATTGGGGACTGCTGCTTTAAAGGATCAGGGCCAACTCTTAATTTCATGGTAGTCTTTCTTTTGAAGAAATCATTATATTTTCAAAAACTGAGGCTCCCCTTTCTGTTTTGAGCAAAATATAAAAGCAATGTTAAAACACTGTTTGGATTTTTTTTCCAGAGTGGGATATAATTAGCAAGAAAGTGAGATAGGTGATAAAATGTATATTTCAGAATGTGCAAGAAGTCAGGACCTCTTTAGAATAATCATGCCTTTTTTGCAGACTTCCATGTGAGCTGAAAAACATGCCATCTTTAGTATGATTCTTTAAAGCAATTGCATCTGGTTCAAGCTTGTCTGGAAGCCTGTGGAAAAATGTGGTTACTTTAAAGAGGTCCTGCACTCCTCCTTCCCCATTTTAATTTGAGATTTCTGCTGAATCAAACAACAGCAATACTTTCTAAGCCATATTACACAGGTAGTCCTCGACTTACCAATACTATTGTTTCGTGCCTGTTTGAAGTTACAGCGGCACTGAAAAAAAATGTCTTATGACCATTTTTCACATTTAGGACTATTGCAGCATCCCCATGGTCATGTGATCAACATTCAGCTGCTTGGTAACTTGTTCATATTTATGATGGTTGCAATGTCTTTTGACACCTTCTGATAAGCAAAGTCAATGGGGAAGTGAGATTCACTTAACACCATGTTACTCATTTAACAACTGCAATGATTTACTTAGCTGTGGCAGGAAAGGTTGTAAAATGGGGCAAAGTTTGTGCAACAACTGTCTCACTTAGCAACAGATATTTTGGGGATCAATTGTGGTCGAGGACAACCTGTAGACATACACCCTACATTTATTAATTAAACTTTTTCTGCATGTATGAAATCTTTTTCTATGAAGCCAGTTTATTTCAAGTATGTTAATTATTACATTATTAAAGGATGGGCAAAAAATTATAATAGAATGTTAATATGTTTTATTGCTCTTCTTGATCTCTGCTACGGTAATTATATAAGACAATGAGCCCACAAATAAGCAAGAATTTTAGGTGCCAGAATGCATCCAAAAAATCAGGTTTAGTTTATCCATGGATAGGCTTTTCCATGAGTATATATGGTAAAGTGCATACGAAATAAAACATGGTAAAAAAAAATACAGTTGTCTTATCTGTGGGTGGCACATCTTTGTTGGTATTTTGGTTAAAAATGTGAACAGTAAACATGGTTGCTTTCTCTCCATATAGCAAAATATAGTTAAAATCCATCAGTTGTTATAGCTGTATTGCAATATCCTAAATTATCAGTTCATCTGATTTGCTGTATTTCCTTTGCCAGTATTGTGTGATTTTTAATATTATCACTGCTGTTTTTAGGTATGGACATTTTTCTGGCATAAATCGCAAAGTACAACTGACTTATCTTCCTCATGGTTGTCCTAAAACATCTAGTGAAGAAGAAGGTACCTTGGTTATTTTTAGGAACTAATTTCCATCAATTAGTTTATTTATTTAATCCTAGGAATACAGTTATACCCTTAGAGCCTTGTGAAAGGTCAACAGGGTTAGGGCCAATCTGATTATTCTTTGAATTGATCAATAGGTGCATTGAATTGATTAATATCAATACATAAATTCAGTTTATAATATTTTCTTCATCTTGGTTAGAAGTCAAAAGGCAACTTTATAGTCACATTCTAATATAATCAAACTGCAGTTCTAAACAAATATATAGGAAATATGATCACTGAAGATCCATAAACATATTTCTGAATAGCTCTGTATAGGATTTTAAATATTGCTTTTTACTTATTTCTGCATGGATCAGATAACATCCCTTCATTTTTTTATTTCAGAATAATTTGCCATATAGAATAGAATTCTTTATTGACAAAGAATGACTGGACACACGAGGAATTTGTCTTTTGTGCATATGCTCTCAGTGTACATAAAGAAAAAATAAAATACATTCATCAAGAATTATAAGATACAACACTTCGTGATAGTCATAGGTTATTAATAAGCAATCAAATCATACTAGGAAACAAATAAAACAATATAAATTGTAAATTTACAAGTAACATGGTTAGATAGCATAACATGGTTATATAGCATAATAAAATATATATAATTATATAGCATAAAATATTGCTGTTTCAAAATCAAATTCTATTCACTACAGCATACAGAATTAATATCAATATTCTTTGGATTGTCCCTGTAGAAAAGTAACATTTGTTTCACCTTGACTTTTGAACGTAAGTTAAAAAACAAAAATCTTTTACTTGCTTTGTTTGTATTTAGATAACCGCAAACAAGAGCCATCTCTACTCTTAGTTCTCAAATGGGGAGGAGAATTGACACCTGCAGGTAGAGTTCAGGCAGAGGAACTAGGAAGAGCTTTCCGATGTATGTACCCAGGTGGACAAGGTATCTTATCTTTCTTTGTAATGGCTTCTCTATGAAAAGAGAAAATCTACAGAAACAAATAAGAAACTTCACTCTTTGCTTTGGTAGGTGACTATGCAGGATTTCCAGGATGTGGCCTACTTAGATTGCATAGTACCTATCGGCATGATCTCAAAATCTATGCATCTGATGAAGGAAGAGTTCAAATGACAGCCGCAGCTTTTGCAAAGGTAGTACAACGTCAGTAGAAAATATGAAATGTGTATAGGTTACTTGTAGGAGGAGTTCAGGTCCTTTGCAATTTTATATTTATACATAGGAAAGATAACTTCATCCATTCTTTCAATGCAAAATGGACTACTTCATCAATACTTAATCAGCGTCAACATTTTTCAACCAATTTGCATGAAATGTATAAATTACTTCTTTATTGAATAGAAAAATATATTTTAGTGTGCATAAAGAATTGCATGCAATATGATACAAAAATAGAGCTAAAAAATAAAAATTGTGTTCATGTATTTCTTTGAGCCTAGTTAATTTGAGTCTAATTAGGTAGCTATTCTGTCAAGATTTTTTTAAATTTCATTTATATACATTCTTTATTACCAATATATTTTGAATTGAAATTAGAGAATGATATTGTAGATATTCTCAACCAGCCTTTCCCAAACTTGAAACCCACCAGATTGAAATTTTAATGCACACAAAATCCTTTGCACAAACTTCACAATGGATCATGTAACATGACATATCCATTTCTAATTAATGTGTGTGTGTTTGTGTTTGATTTTCCTTCCCCTACTTTCTCCACAAGAACCATTTTGTAAGGTGGATTGAGCTGAAAGAGTGTAATTGACTCAGTCATCCAGCCAATTTCTACACCTAAGGGAGTACTAAAACTCATTCTGCTCAGTTTCTACTCCAGCATTTTAGCCACTAACTAAACTAGCTCTCCTGTATGAATTAATTCATTTCAAAAATTTTCAATCTGTGATGTCCTGTTCCTAAATGCAAATTAATACTTGAATATACAATCACAAGTTCTGAAAATGCCTTTCGATTAAAATGAAGTGATTTAGAAGTGGTGAAAATCTCAGTGGCTGTTCACTCAACATATTATGTCTATTAATTTTTGTTACAATTGGCTGAATTTATACATAATGGCAAGCTACAAACCTTATTTTACAAACTGCAGTGGCTAAATTCATGCTATATGTTAGTCCCAAACTTCACAATATTATTGTTTAGCACAATGTGTATACAATGAGTGTGGCAGATTGCTGAACAGAATTGTGATTGTTTTTGTTTTGCTTAATGCTGTTTTTATTGTGTAACAGTTTGTAAGTTTGAATAGTCTTCAGCAGTTTGAAATGCTTGGAATATTGTTCCTCATTTTGGTAATCAGATCCCAAACCCAAATTATACAGTTGAAAATGGTGCCCAGTAACAAAATAAAAATGATACAGAGCTGAAGCAAGTGATTCTATGACGAAACATAATGCTTATATCTTTTTAACTTACTAAGAAAATAAAAAGAAGTTGTAAGGGAACCTGAAATAAAACATACAGGTGAAATTCAAAAAATTAGAATATCGTGCAAAAGTTCATTTATTTCAGTAATACAACTTAAAAAGTGAAACTAATATATGAGATAGACTTATTACATGCAAAGCAAGATAATTTAAGGCATGATTTGTCACAATTGCGATGATTATGGCTTACAGCTCATGAAAACCCCAAATCCACAATCTCAGAAAATTAGAATAGTACATGCAATCAATAAAACAAGGATTGTACATTGAACAGTATCGGACCTCTGAAAAGTATAAGCATGCATATGTAGTCAGTACTTGGTTTGGGCCCCTTTTTGCAGCAATTACTGCCTCAATGCGGCATGGCATGGAAGCTATCGGCCTGTGGCATTGCTGAGGTGTTATGGAAGACCAGGATGCTTCAATAGCGGCCTTCAGCTGTTCTGCATTGTTCGGTCTCATGTCTCTCATCTTTCTCTTGGCAATGCCCCATAGATTCTCTATGGGGTTCAGGTCAGGCAAGTTTGCTGGCCAATCAAAGTAATCCCACGGTCATTGAACCAGGTTTTGGTGCTTTTGGCAGTGCGGGCAGGTGCCAAGTCCTGCTGGAAAATGAAGTCAGCATCCCCATAAAACTCGTCTGTGGAAGGAAGCATGAAGTGCTCCAAAATCTCCTGGTAGATGGCTGCATTGACCCTGGACTTAATGAAGCACAGTGGACCAACACCAGCAGATGACATGGCTCCCCAAATCAACAGACTGTGGAAACTTCACACTGGACTTCAAGCATCTTGCAGTGTGTGCCTCTCCATTCTTCCTCCAGACTCTGGGTCCTTGGTTTCCAAATGAGATGCAAAAGTTGTTCTCATCAGAAAAGAGGACTGTGGACCACTGAGCAACAGACCAGTTCTGTTTTTCTTTAGCCCAGGTAAGATGCTTCTGATGTTGTTTGTTGTTCAGGAGCGGCTTGACAAGAGGAATACGACATTTGAAGCCCATGTCCAGGATCCGTCTCTGTGTGGTGGCTCTTGATGCACTGACTCCAGCCTCAGTCCACTCCTTGTGAAAGTCGCCGACACTTTTGAATGGCCTTTTCCTGACAATCCTCTCCAGGCTGCAGTCATCCCTGCTGCTTGTGCACCTTTTTCTTCCATACTTTTCCTTTTCACATAACTTTCTATTAATGTGCTTTGATACAGCACTTTGGGAACATCCAACTTCTTTTGCAATTACCTTTTGAGGCTTTCCCTCATTATGGAGGGTGTCAGTGATGGTTTTCTGCGCAACTGCCAGGTCAGCAGTCTTTCCCATGATTGTGGTTCCTACTGAACCAGACAGAGACCATTTAAAGGCTCAGGAACCCTTTGCAGGTGTTATGGCTTAATTAGCTGATTAGAGTGGGACGCTTTGAGCCTAGAATATTGCACCTTTTCACAGTATTCTAATTTTCTGAGATTGTGGATTTGGGGTTTTCATGAGCTGTAAGCCATAATCATCTCAATTATGACAAATCATGGCTTGAACTATCTTGCTTTGCATGTAATGAGTCTATCTCATATATTAGTTTCACTTTTTAAGTTGCATTACTGAAATAAATGAACTTTTGCACGATATTCTAATTTTTCGAGTTTCACCTGTAGTGTAGAAAAACCGAACATGATTATCTATTATAATGCAAGCTTAGAATCATCACATAAAAAGAAGAGATGATAAACCTATAATGGATTAAAATAGTATTTCCTCACTGCAAATATAAATATGATATTTGGTATCACATGTGATGGGCAGTTTTAGAATTATTTATCTGTGTGTAAGTTGTAATGCAGTTCTTCTCTCAAATTCATAGGTAACAGTCACTTATTTATAGAATATATATATTCTGCTTAGTTTGAGACTTAATATACTAAGTTCTATTCACTAACTTTATTTTCCCCAGGGTCTATTGGCATTGGAAGGGGAACTTACACCTATACTTGTGCAAATGGTTAAAAGTGCTAATATGAATGGTCTATTGGACAGTGACAGTGACTCTCTTAGCAGCTGCCAACATCGTGTGAAGGCACGCCTTAATGAAATTCTCCAAAGAGATAGAGACTTTACTTCTGAGGACTATGAAAAGGTTAGAAAATACTCTATAGATAAATTGAAATTGTGAAAGATTTTACAGGAAAGGTTGTACAAGTCTATTTGGAGGAATCTGTCAGGCATCTGTTGGATAATGTTGCTTGAATCCACTCCCAGTTGGACACCAGTCTTTATACAGGTCCCTTGAAGTGTCTAGGTATAGTCTTGCTGTGTTATCTGATAGTGTGAACCTGTTAGGCCTTATGAAATGGACAGATTTCTCATTAGTGTGAGTATGGCCACACTATATTAGATTCATGTTCCCATTGCCTGAATACTAAGAGGTGATATTTAGCCAAGTCTTGGCTGTAGTGAATTCCTCTTAAAGAAGTGCTGGTTCACCCATCCAACAAGCCATCCATTAGACCCAATCATACTAGACAATTTTTGTTCAGCCTTACATGATTAGAGAAGGTAGTTGCACAACAGCTTTCAGGTTTCAGACCTGCGTATGGGATTAAAATAGCACTCTTGTCACTTTTGGATGACTTCTGGTATAATGCATTGATTCTTGCTCCTCTTGACCTCTTGGTAGCCTTTGATGTTACCAACTATGGTATCCTTCTGAATCCATATTTCTGCAATCTGATTGCTGATTAGGTTTAATATTTTGTTTATATGTATGCTTTATATACTTTCATGTCTTTTTATATTGCATTTTGTTTAGTTATGTGGTTGTTTATAAGTTGTAAGACATCCAGAGTCCTGTACTTGAGATGTGTGGCTGTGTAAATAGAAGAAGGGAGAGAGGGAAAGAAGAAATATAAACTACCCTCAGGAAGAAAGAGACATAAGGTTAATCATATGGAAAGCTGCTGAGATATCAGGAAACTAAAAAGGTTGTAGTCCCTGATCTTGGTCTCTCCAAAGATTATTCACTAACATGAGTACAAATTCCATGATGTGCCTAAGTCTAAAGCCTAGTTGTCTGATCAAAATGATATACTTTTTGTGGCTTTCTGGAGTTGTTAAATACAACATATATATTTTAATATGTAGTTGTAGTGACATGATTTGAAATATTAAAGTAAGAGAGTTAATGGAAAATAAGACAGAAATAGACATCAGTTAAATTGAATTTTGTCAATCCGATTAGAACTAATAAACAATTGTTGGATATAGTAATTATTTCAAATTAGTATTTCTTTTAGCTAAAGTTTTTTTAGTAGTATACAGGTAGTCCTCGACTAACGACCATAATTTAGCCCAAAATTTCAGTTGCTAAGCAAGACATTTGTTAAGTGAGTTTTACTCCATTTTACGACTTTTCTTGCCAGAGCTGTTAAGTGAATCACTGAAGCTGTTAAGGTAATATCATGGTTGTGAATAAATCTAGCTTCCACATTGCCTTTGCTTATTAGAAAGTTGCAAAAGGGGATTACATCACCCCAGAACATTGTAACCATCTTAAATATGAGGAACTTGCCAAGTGTCTGAATTTTGATCACATGACCAGGGGGATGCTGCAAAGATCATAAATGTGAAAAATGGTCATGTCACTTTTTCAGCGTTGTTGTAACTTTGAACGGTCACTAAATGGTCATTAAATGAACTGTTGTAAGTCAACTGTTGTATTTAAAAGATAAGTCAAAGTGTTTTTGATGTTTTACTCATATAGGATAGCACATTTTAAAAATACATATTTTTCAGGGATTAGGATATCAGATGCTATACATGTAGACTATAAGTATTATAGCTTACATATTTCTTTTTGGTTTGATACTACAGTTGACACCATCTGGCAGCATTTCTCTGATAAAATCAATGCAAGTGATAAAAAATCCTATTAAGACATGTGATAAGGTATATTTCTTAATCCAGAGTTTGACATCTCAAATCAAACAACGAATGGAAGATCCTAAGTTTGCAGGTAAACAATTTCCTTGATCAGGCTGATTAATAATATTACTTGCACATATTTATTTTATAATTAACAGTTAGGACAATCTTTGTATTAATTCAGGAACAACTTTCAAAATAAAAAAATGTAATAGTTTGCCCAATAACTGTTAGCTACTCTAATATATTAATAGCAAATTAACTTCACTAATGTAGATTGCTATGTAAATAAAATAGCAGTAACTTTGCGCAAGAAAAAACATAACAATAGGCTTAGTTAAGTACCAGAATTGCAGAAGTACAAACTATTTTAGTTTGTGTCTGTGTAAAAGGAAACAAAAATAAAACAAAGCTGAAAGCAAAGCTGGCTGCTCTGAAGCTTAAAGAATGGGTGGATATATTTCTTTAATGTCTATGATAATTTCCCTTCATTTTACTTTAATCAACTCTCATTATTACCTTTTAATGATTGTTCAACTAGATATTCAACTTTATCACAGCGAAACATTGGAACTAATGCTGCGTAGATGGGCCAAGCTTGAAAAAGACTTTAAAACAAAGAATGGAAAATATGATATAAGTAAAATCCCAGATATCTATGACTGCATAAAATATGATGTTCAGCATAATGTCTCTTTAAAGCTAGAAAATACAATGGAATTGTACAGACTGTCAAAGGCATTGGCTGATATTGTGATCCCTCAGGTATGTACATTGGCGCTTACATAGTACACTCATTATAATAAAATGGCTATGTTCTCCAGGCCATATTTACAAACTGTTATGGAAATGAATAAATTTACTGTCTCAAAATGCATTTATAGTTCATAAAGCAGTTATGAACTATCACAAACTGAAAAGTGGTACCTCTTTACCTTATTAAATTGAGGAATCTGATATTTATATACAGGTGTACGACATGTACCTTGTTGACATTAGACTGAATCTAGGATAATGGCGCAATTCTAAATTTATTTATTCGGTTGTGAATCCTATACAGTTCATTAGATTTTCTCCTAGATGTAGTCTTGTATCAGTTAACTAGATTATTTTAATGTAGCTTCCAATAGAATCATGGGACATATTGGTTGCATCTTGTGATTAACTCAGATCTACCACAAAAGAAGGAGCAAAAACACGGTTCATGAAATTAAAAAATGAGAATTACATGATACACTATTAAGAATATGAGTCCATACAAGGAAATAGAATTGTAATGATACTCAAAGAATGTTGCTAAATAGGTAATTTAGTAATATACAGTAAACAACAGGATCATCTAGATTAGAATTAATGGAGCTATGGCGATAACCATCAATGTTAAATAAGTTGTGGAAGACATTGAAAAAAATATTTGGCAAAGTGCAAGGATTGCTAAAAACAGCATCTGAGAAGCATATAAAAGTGCTAATGGGTGATTGGGATGCAAACGATCAATGAAATGGAGGAATTGGAATTATAGATGGATTTGAATTAGGTTAATGCAGCCATGTAGAAGATAACCTAAATGTATGGTTTTAAGTTACATTTTGCAAAGAAAATTATTTATTACTAATAATTATTTGATTCATACAGAATACAAAATAACGACAGTAATAATATAACTTTGTTATTATAAACAAAATATCAATTTAAAATAACAAAATAAAATGTTTATGGAACAATATAAACACAATATATATTTGGACCTTAGCAGATAGGCAATATTATAATCCAAAACAAAAATGGTGGTTTTGCACCAGGAAGCCAATGTGATCAGAATTGGGACTCATATTAGGACATGTATCCTCATTTTGTCTAAAGCTCTTCCCCATCTCCCATGGGTTTGCCCCTCCCTGCTTTAATCGATTATTTTGTTTTGTTTAAGAATTGAAGTGGAATACTTTTATCAACTCATGATATTATGATGATGGAACATAAATGATCCCCTGAAATGTCCTAAGTAAAAATAATGGCATGTTTTTAGTCATAATGTGAGCAAAAATGTGCTTGTCTCCACAACATCTTTATTACAGAGAAGCACCATTTTAACTATCTCAGCTGAATCCAATGGTGATTTAAAGCCTTATTGTAGTATAAAGGTAAGGAGGAAATAACTGATTCTCCCTCCAGTGAATATTGTATCCTTTACCTCTTGTCCCTGCAATAAAATAAGGCTTTAAAAATATATCTAGTGAATCCAGTGGATGCATTTTCTGGAAGATTCTATCTAAAAACTTGCTTAGGGCTGCTTGTTCGTATCAAGCGGCCTTACCTATTTTGATATATGGTCCTACTAACTAATGTACGGACCCTGCTCAAAGCTATGTGGACTCAGATTGAAACAAGTTCTCTGCTGCTGCTGTCATTGCTTAGGCCCCATTCTCTGTTAGGTAGCTTAATCCTAGGGGCTCCTATCTATATCATTGCTCTCTGAGTTGACATGCCTTCCTGTCTTCAGGAAATGTAGCACTTTACAACTTAGCAAAGAATTGCAATGGTTTGGGTTTTGTTTTTGTTTTTTGAGTCCAGAAGCAGATCCAGCAGCAGGACAAGGATCAGAGGCTCATAGTTACAACCATCTACTACTGTGAAATTATCTGAAAGTGAAATTACTTCATTAAGGGCTTAGGTAGAAATAGGTACTTATCTAACAAATTGAGTTATAGATTGAGAGGGAATTTTCAGGAATATCCAAGTTCATTTTCACATTTTTTTCACTTAAGGAATATGGTATTACCGAGGCTGAAAAATTAGAGATTGCTAAAGGTTACTGCAATCCACTATTGAGAAAAATTCGGTCTGATCTTCAGAGGACTCAGGATGATGATACTGTTAACAAACTCCATCCTTTGTAAGTTTTTTAAACCATTTTTTCAACATTATTGAAGCCCTTATATAACAATAAATGTAGCTAAATATTTAAAAATGATAACCTCCAGTCCTTCTATGAAGCCTGTATAATTTTAGCAATTAAAAAATCCTATGGTCATTATGTATGCATGATCACAAACATGATAAATTGAGGTACTTGAACTTAATTTCTGTTAAACTTTCAAAAATAATTATATTTTAGTATCTCACATGTCACACTCACAGTTTAGCTTCCAGGCAAAGTTCTGATAAGATTCTGATTTTGATCAAGGATGCACAGATTATCAAATACACACAACATTATGTTCTGCAGCTTAAAACAAGGATTCAACTTTAGACAATTCAGAATGTAAAGTATATTTTTATTAAACATAAATGTAGCACTGATTAGGATTTCAGAGTGAGGAACTTGAAATTTAGATCCAAGGTAAGTATGGATTCATAAAGGTTGTATAAAATTTAAGCACCAAAACCAAAAATATACTGTTTGATGCCTTAGTTAATTAATCGTGAACAGAAGAAACTTGATACAGAAACTTAAATGGTGTGCCTAATTCATTATTATTATTAGAAAACTGGGAATGTTTGTTAATGTTTGGATTTTAGGTCTAGAATTTTTAGATTTTTAGATTTGTAAAATAATGTATGCAATGTATGGTGCCCTTTGCTCACTTATCCAATTTTATTTTTAGGTATTCTAGTGGGGTTATGTCTCCTGAACGTCATGTTCGAACTAGGCTGTACTTTACCAGTGAGAGTCATGTCCATTCCTTGCTTTCAACTCTTCGCTATGGTTCTTTATGTGATGTAAGTGTTTCAGTGGCATTCCTTTTCAGAATCACCGAAGCTTACATTTAATAATCAACTCAATACACTACTTATTCAGTAAGAATTTTTATTATAATAAAATAAGATGAAGGATTATCTAAAAAGTCATCATAGTTGACTTCTAATCATTTCAGTAATGGAAACATTGATAAGTTTGCAAAAATCATGTTACCTTTTTATGATTTCATTGTGCTGTAAAACATAAGAAAATACTAGTTAATATTTATTTATTTAGTGTATGGCAAATACATGGACTTATACTGGTTCAAATGTTAATGTCCAGTCCACCCAGCCGTTCAAGGACAGGGTGATCTATGTTGAAAAAATCAGACATTGGGCCAATGTAAGCTCTTGATGGACATTCGGAAACAATATATAAAGTTAATTTATAAAACTAAACTAAGGTTTAAAGCAACGTTTTGTTTGAAAAGCTTAGTAGCCTGGTTTGCATGTTAATGGATTTGCTAATAAGTTAAAAATAATGTGCAAAAAATAAATGCTTTAGTGTTAATTTCTGGCTGGTAATGTGTCTTTATTTTTCTGATATTTTACTTGTTATCACTTGATAAGTTAATGTATAACACTGAATTATAAAATATATCAATTGAAGATACATTCAGAATGCCTATATGGTAAATATGTGTAAGATTGCAACTTACAATTAGTTTAATATAAGTGTTAAGGTAAAAAGGGGGATCAACACAGACAATATTAAAAAAAAGTGGTATTTACATTTTTACCTAAGGCATCAAAAGATGAACAGTGGAAGAGAGCTATGGATTATCTCAATGTTGTCAGTGAACTCAATTACATGACCCAAATAGTTATCATGCTGTATGAAGATCCAAATAAGGTAAGGAAACAATAAACAATAATTTAAGAGAAAAGCTAATTGCATATAGTCAGAATATGACTTGACTTATCCATTTATTTAGGAGGTTTCATCAGAAGAACGCTTCCATGTAGAGTTACATTTTAGTCCAGGAGCAAAAGGCTGTGAAGAAGATAAAAACTTGCCATCAGGTTTTGGTTACAGACCTGCTTCACGGGAGGTAAGCGCTTCTAGAAATGTTTCTCATATGAAACTTAAAGAGCACTTTTCATGTAATTTCACAGCATTTGGTTGCTTAAATAAAAATATCCAGTGTTTGGTTTAAGTTTAGCAACTTCCCAAATATATTTGAAGATGTATTTAACTACTTTAAGCCAGACAGTATTGCGCTCTTTCCATGTAATTGTGTAAAATAGAAGCCAGTCTATTAAGTGATAATTAGCAAGGACTTGTATTACAAATTGAATAGGAGTGCTGGTATAACAGTATTGAAGTCTTTGTTATTAGATATATTTGATTTTGACTTTTCAATATGGAGAAAGTATAATAGATCTTGCTTAACAATTGTCATGATTACTGACCATTAGAAGTTATAATGGCACTGAAAAAGTAATTTCCTAACTGGTCCTCATATTTACAAAGTCCCCGTGGTAAAATGATTGAGATTTAGGTATTTTGCAACTGGCAGGCATTTATCACAGTGTTCTGCAGTCATGTGATTTCCATTTGTGTGTTTTGCAAGTGGAGTCAATGGAGAAGCTGGCAATAAAATCACAAGTCTCTTAACATCACTTGATTTATAACTGAATGGGAATGACATTGTAAGTGTCATAGATGCAACACCGGACATTTCTAGTTACGGCCATGATATGTAATATTCAAGGGAATGATACTTTTAGTTTGCTTGATGAAATGTTATTTATTTTATTTTATTTTATTTATTTATTTGATTTGTCAATCGCTTACAAGGTAATAGATATAAGTATAAACATGAGTAAGAATACAGGAAATAGGTACAAATAAATGAGGACAATAGGACCAGGACAGGAGGCACGATGGTGCACTTATGCACGCCCCTTAAAGACTTCTTAGGAATGGGGTGAGGTCAATAGTGGTTAGTTTGAGGTTAAAGGAGTGGGGGTTAGAGGGTGTAACAATAGAGTCAGGTAGTGCATTTCAGGCATTGACCACTCTGTTGCTGAAGTCGTACTTTTCTGCAATCAAGTTTGAAGCAGTTTACATTGAGTTTGTAAACTGTTGTGTTCTCTTGTGTTGTTATGGTTGAAGCTGAAGTAGTCATTGACTGGTAGGACATTGTAGCAGATAATTTTGTGTGCTATGCTTAAGTCTAACCATAGGTGGCGTAGTTCAAGGTTGTCCAAGCGCAGAATCTCAAGCCTGGTGATATAGGGTATTCTGTTGGGAGCAGAGGAGTGTAGTACTCTTCTCGTGAAATACTTCTGGACTCGCTTGATTGAATGTCTGATATTCAGTGCAGATTCCAGACTGATGAGCTGTATTTGAGTATTGGTCTGGGAAAAGTTTTGTATGCTCTAGTTAGCAATTCGATATTTCCGGAGGAGAAGCTTCATAAGATTAGATTTACAACTCTTAATGCCTTTTTGGCAATGCTGTTACAGTGAGCTCTGGTGCTTAGGTCATTTGATATGAGAACTCCAAGGTCCTTGACAGAGTGAGGATCATCAACGGGTCATATCCGCCTAGTTTGTATTTGGTGTACTGATTTTTTTTTACCAATGTGTAGGACAGCATTTGTTGGTCGAGATTTGGAGTTGCCAGATGTTTGACCATTCAGACACATAATCAAGGTCGCTTTGAAGGATAGTAGCATTGTCAGTGGTATTGAATAGTTTTACATCATCTGCAAAGAAGTTGCTTATAAGGTAATCACAAAGGTCATTTATACAGAGTATAAAGAGTGTGGGTCCTAGAACGCTACCCTGGGGGACACCGCTGTTAACTAGAGCAGGGTTTGATATAGCACTCCCTATTTTTACTATTTACTGCCTATTTGACAGGAATGCAGTAATCCACTTATGGAGGGATCCGGAAATGCCGTAAGAGTTTAGTTTTAACAGTAGTTTGTCGTGTACCACTGAATCAAAGGCTTTGCAGAAGTCTATGTAAATTGCATCTATAGCTTTACCCTGGTCAAGTAGAGTAGTCCATATGTTTCTGCAGTGTAGGAGTTGTAGATTGCAGGACATTTTTTTCCTGAAACCAAATTGTTTTTTGGAGAGTAGGTTGTTTGACTCTAAGTGGAAAGTGATGAATTGGTTAATGATTGATTCCATGACTTTGCACATGACACAACACAGTGAGATTTGTCTGTAGTTTTCAACCAGGCTGGGGTCACCTTTTTTGAAGATATGGATGACCACAGCTAAGGACCATAGGTTTGGTAAGGAGCTGGTTCTGAATGATATCTCATATATAATGCTTAGGGGTTCCGCTATGGCAGAGGAGAGGTTTTTTAAGAAGTATGCACATAATCCATCAGGGCCAATAGATAGGGATGGTTTTAGGTTTCGTAGTGTCTTTTCTACATTATCTTTTGTAAAATCAATATGGAGTAGGTCATTACAGTTAGTTGTGGTACGACTAGGAAATGTGGGGTATGAACCATTGCTGTTTATAAAGACTGAAGAATGTGTTGAAGAGATTGGCCTTAACAGCTTCATTGTTGCAGTCTTTCCCATTTGGTCCTTTTAGGGGTGGGATGGTTCTTGATTCTTTAAGTTTGGTATTAACAAAATTGTAGAAGGCGCGGGTAGATTTTGTACAT